ATACTGCAAAAATATTTCTGCCTTTGCTTTTTACGTTGGTATCCGTATGGGTAACATGTCAGCAAACCGATGCTCTAACTTGTTTCAGAAATTTGCTATCTTATTTGGGCTACGTTTGTAATATTTTCTTACAAAAAAAAAAGAGAGAAACCATTCCTGAAAGTTCCCTGAACATAACTACAAGCGGCGATGATCTAGACCCTGCCCGGCCAATAACTACGAACTTGCACATACGTGTCCATCTTACGTTATAAACTGGGGCCATTGGGCCATTGACGAACAAAGGGTACCGTAAATAATACCGAGCCGAGTAAACTCAGAGCGTTTCGTATCGCATTCAAGTTAACTAACGTCTCCGTTTAATTACTGCGATAACCGCGCGCCGCGAAATGTCGCTACTTTTGGCGGGAAAGGGCTCGAGTTTCGCGCCATTCACGGCCGCACGGGCCTACAGGTGACGCCCCACGTGGGGCCACGTGATTGTTTTTGCGCGGCCGATTTAAATGTCATGGGGGGTCAGCTGGGTTTGTTGAACTGGAGAGCCGGTGGTTCTGAATGGTCGCGTTGATTGAGGGCTACGGCTACCGATGAGAGATTCGTCTTTGGCTAGGGCACTTGGCCAAAGAGACATTTAGCTTTCTGTTACCTATGTCGAAAGGTATGGGCTTATTGGTAGAGAATGCCATTGCACACGTTAAAGCCCCTGTATTTGAATATCTAGAAGGGCCATGGCCACTGCCACCTAGAAGATCCATTGTAGCCTTCCCTTCGAGAACATTGCCCCCTTTACAGTAGGATAACATTATCTGAGGTAGCCGGGGCCCAATTTTCAAAAGGTTGTCAACGCATCTGCAAGCCTCGGGTGTAGCTGATGTCCATGGGCGGCGATATTCACTTAACATCAGATGAACCATCTGCTCGTTTGGCAACTTTTCCCATTAAAAAATCCTATTTCATAAGGCCATTTTACATACATAAACCCAGACAAACATCCAGATCCGAAACAATTGTCTGCGCGTTACAAAAGTAACTGTTTCGTGCGGGAATGGAGACTACTACCCCTGGCGCCGAAGCCAACTTGACAACTGCACATGTCAATGCCGTTAGCTTAAGGCGAAACGAAAAATCTATACAGATAACACAGATACATATAATTTTTTTTTTTCAATTTAGAAAAAAAGATAAATAAAATTGGAGTGTCTGTTTGTAATATTAAAACAACCGCTTTGTACTAAATGCATATGGATGTATACACGGTACGTATACCAAAATATAATTTTTTTACAATTTTTGTCTGTCTGTCTGTCTGTTTGTTCCGGCTAATCTCTGAAACGGCTGGAATAATTTGGACGGGACTTTCAATGTCACATAGCTGATGTAATAAGGAGTAACTTAGGCCACTTTCATTTTAGATTTTTTTTTATTTTAAATTCCTCGCGGACGAAGTCGCGGTCACAGCTAGTCATAAATAAATAACAAGCTATAAATATCTAATAAAGGCTTCTTCTGGATCCTCGATCTGGACTGGTCCTTTGCATATACTATGGCACAATTCGTCACGCGACCTTATTGTGGTTCGGATATGCTGAGATAGTTCCGATGGTATGCCGTTTCCTACAAGATGTTTACATCGTCTACCACCCAGTTAAAAAGCGGCGGTAGTTTTTACTTTATTATATACTAGCAACGTCAGTTCAAATCATCATGGCTCCATGGCGCAAGGGCCAAGAATTGGCTTCGGCGTCGGGGGTCGCGGGTTCTATTCCCACACGGGACAACTGTTTGTGTGCCCCACAGATAGTTTTTCGAATCTTGGTGTTTTTCCGCGTGAAATTCATGTCACAACCTCGTACACTAATACTTAAATTCAATAATTTTTACAAATGAGACTGAATGAGGAATATTTATGTGGGTTTTTGATACGATCACTTCGTGAGGCGATTATGCTGAGATCGTAAATGGGCGCAAGATCAATTGCAAATAATAATTTCCGTGTCTTAATTCAGTCTGTGGCGTAATTATTAGCAGGGTCGGTTAATTCCATAAATTTATTTATTTTCTTTTCTAGTTTAAATTCAATTCTGGCACATGAGTGCTCTTAAAATAAAAAATAAAATACAATTGACAATCTGAAGACTAAGCTTTCGTTGACAAGGAAGAGGTCAACACTCTCCCTGACCTGACAATGACAGGTGTTGAAAGGTTTTCCGTTACGACATCGACCCTTCAACCTGTAACTGAGAAAAAACTCCCTTTGCGATCAGCTGTTATTAGCCATTTTATACGATCTGGCTCTTGAGGCCGAGGGTACCCTCTGACATAGAAATAGAGTTTATTTTCGAACGAAACAAAAATTAGCAGAAGCATATACGTTTTGGTAAAATTTTATCAACTGAAGAACATAACTTGCCAATACAACTTTATTAGCCCTTATCGTACGCGGAATAAGGATCAAAAGCAAATAATTCTCATCTACACTAACTTTTTGACATAAGCAACGGTTTGTTTTAGATTGCTAACCTGAGTGGGTATTTACATTTTGAGACTGTTCCTCATTAAACTTGATGATTTTAGAATACATTTAAATAACATCCATATATTACAGAACAATTTTTGAAACGCCTTTGTCTTAGATAAGAAAAAAGAAAAAAGAATATACATACGAAATTCAGCTTAATTTCTTAATTCAGTTCTTCGTGTTGTAACAATGATTGATCTACTACCCATATTATTATTACATTTTAACGTCTTGGAGATTTTGTATATGCATAATTAGTTTACCGACTTTTTTCCCGCAGATCTTCTATTATCCATAAACTTGACCTAAGTAAACCAACGTGAAGTTTCAATCATGACGTTTCATTTTCCCGCCAAATCGTACCGCTCCCTAACCGTTGGACGCAAGGCGCTCCTCCAGAATGCTACGCGTATCATCGTCATCGCAGGAAACGACCTCACCCCCCATAATTGGGCGATAGCAACACGTGCCAGCGCATTTGAATAAGAACAAATAAGTTAGAGAAAAAAAAACATGAAACTTCGTTTGGACGCCCACAACATGTGTTTGCCGCCATTATCGCCGTCGAAACGGTCGCGAGTTGTTCAGAACTGGAAATAACGATGGCTGATGATGATAATTCCTTTTTTAAATCTATCCCGTTCGGAAACGTCGCTCGGGAGGGTGATGGAACTAAAAAAAAATATCTTGGGCTACGCGTGTTAGTTTAATAGTTTTTACTGTTTTTATCAATCGTTGTGAAATACGAGCGTTTTGTCATGAGTGATAAGATTTTAATTGCAATAAAAAAGCTATTAGTGTATGAAATATTTAGAAAAATGATCATTTCCTCTTCGACACATCCTAAGTTTTTCTACAATAAATTGTCTGCAATTAGAAATTCGTTATTTAGGAGCAGCAATATGAACTTAAGAGCCGTGATAGCTCAGTGTCCGGGCGCTCGCCTTTAATTCAACATACTCGAGCAACCTGATTTCGTTCCCCGGTGCCGGCACCAATGAAGTTTTTAATTTCAAGTGCTGAATTATCACGTACTCCGCGGTGAAGGAAAACATCGAGGAAACCTGCATATTTTCAAATTATAAGAAAAAAATATACATTTTTCGAAGATATGTGAAGTCCGCCAATACGCAGTGGGGCCGCGTGGTGGACTATGCTCTGATACCCTCTGTATAGAGGAGCCTTTGCCCAGCAGTGGGATATGTACAGGCTGATACTTTACTTTTTTATACCCTGTTACTAATATGAACTTTGTTCTCTTTTAATAGCTGATTCGAAAGAAATATCTAGGCACTCCTGTTTGAATAGATAAAAATATCTGTTTAAGTTTTTTTTTGACCATTGATAATTATTTTACCTTTATAACAAAAAAAATGTCTTTTGTAATACAATTTAACTTTTTTTACTTTTTCAAATTTTGTTTTTAATAAAATTAAGCAATATTATGATAAAAGAATTATTTTTCTTATTTAAATTTGTACATAAATTTTACTTTCTATTATTCCGCAAAAATATGATTTTGCGTAATTTTTATATTATTCCGTTTTGCGTAATATAACCAATGTCAATAAATATATTTAAAACAACGATAAAACCATACTGGCGGAATTTTGTTGTGACACGAATCCAAGCCTCACAGATCTTGTAAAAGCCCCCTCGGTGAAATCGCTTATGGCGGGAAAAAAGAACAATGACCAATTGACCAATAGGTTTCTAAACAAGAACCCTTTACCGTGAGTTTCATGTCAATCGTTCGAATACTGACCGATTGCTCAGTTATTCAATATTACGATTTTGTTTTACTCGTAACATTACTCTATAAGATAGGGTTATCTGTATGGTTGGGGCGATCTACAAAAAGAAATTAAACAAACAAACAGAACCGCAGCAATTATTTGTAGATTTTAAATAGATCCAACCATGCCCCGTAGCGTCATAGGCTGTCTGTAACTGCGCCAACCAAATCATCATGTAACATAAATATATTATGATTCCTTATAGGGACATTGGCCCAAAATCCTGATATACCAATCTTCCGAAGGGATGCAGATGCGTCTAATAAAGTGAGCCTCGGCTACCTCACTCACCAGATGAAACGCAGTAGCGATGTCCGTCGCATAGCCCTACTAAACCATCATCACCGTATCGCAATTGTGCCCGGTGAAAGCCATCAGGGCTCATCACCTGCCTTGTTCGACTTGACAGGTTGTTTCTTTCGCCTGTTTTTTCTCCATTATAGGAACCTCGTTACAAAATAGCGGTAGATTAAAAAAAAAACTATCAGTAGATGAAATGTCTTTGGTCGATAAATGAATGATTTGACTCTTAACGTCAATAAGAGCTTCAGGCTTTCTTACATGCTGCCAACATTTAACTCTAAGAGCACTTGATGGCAACTTACTGTCTTCATTCTTAACGACACAAGACAAATACCAGGTGGTAATCGTAACCTAGCAGCTCAACGTCTGCGGTCGGCGAGTCAATCTGTACTCATTACGGTGAGGTACTGCAGGTTGCGACCGCAACCGCTTCCGCCAGTAACGCTGCAGGTAGCGGGCGGCAGCGGTCGCTTAGGCGGGAGCGCGTAGAAAAAGCCTATAATGACTGAAGGTGTAACGAGAGATTCAGAATAAAATTGTGCCCTGAAATATTTATTTATTTACTTATACGTGTTCCCTTATACTTGTCCCTGTCGGAGTGGGAGTCCCTGTGGACGTCTAAGTAAATAAATAAATATTTCAGGACACATTTTTACACAACGTTTTCTAGTCCGAAACTAACCAACGCTTGTACTATGGGTACAAGATAACTGATAAACATACTTTTCTTTTATAAATAAATACATATTTTAAATATATAAACACACGTAGACACTGGAAAAACTCTATTTTTATCACACAGTATTTTCCAGTATTGCGGGATCTAACTCACACCCTCTGGGTCATTACCTATTACGCCAATCGGGAGACATTTTGACTCAAGCACTCCTGGCCTGTCTGATTGACAGGACAAATTATGAAAAATTTCAAATCTGCTGAAAACGAAGGGAACACTCTGCACACAGAAATGCACTTTAGATAAGTTTTGAGATTATTCCGTTACTCCTCAGACCGTTTTTCAGTGGAGCTACATGATTGAAAATCATTTTTTTCTATTCTTTGTTATTTCGTCTACATAGCTTTAGCAGAACATGATTGTGGTTGTTTAAGCTAGTTTTTGTACAACCGGCCGCCTGACATTGTCTATTCTCCTAGGGAATAAATACTCATATCCGGAACAATTATCTGTGGGTCACACAAATACTTACAGCATGTGGGAATCAAACCCACGACTCCCGCAGCCAAAGCCATCAATGCGCAAATGCGCCATCGAGTCATCTTCCTACGTCGATGCCAAATGAAATCTTGTTTCTTTTTCTCACCTAAGCGTCTTTACTGTGATATTAGAACATATCTTCAAGAAGCGATGCTTACCGCGCCCCTACAAGTACCGAGACATTGCACTAAAGTTACAAAGTTGCAAGTAAAAAACTTTGAACCTTATTAAAGTGCGTATTTTAAGCGTACACATAAGGTCTGTGAAATTTTTCTATGCAAAATCGTGTTGATCTTTAGAGAACACACTAATAACAAAAAAAAAACTCGATTCCACGTGCCTGATGTTATCATAAAATTATATATAAGCATATTAATATTGAACTAAATATTTCAGAGGCAAACTTAAATGGCATCACGAGCATTGTTAAAATAAACTACGAATTGAGATGCTGTTCAAATAAAATTATATACAAAATCGAAACTCGATGTTATTGCGTTTGCAACATCCAAGCGGTAGCCACTAGTATTAAATAGTGACGTGCATTAAAGTTATCGATATACGACAGGAATACGGTGTTAGCACAAATATTTTTCTAAATGTATACACTACATTAATGCCCATATGTATGCAATGCTTTCATTCATACTTATATTTCTTATTATATATGCAATGTTCTTAATATCAATAGAAATAATAATATTTCATGTTATAACCAGTTTTTTAAACATTATAAATACAAAGTGCAAATGAATGACTGAAACAGGTCATAATCAGGCATCGGAAACTCGAAAAACTATGGCTTAAAAAAGTTTGAACGACGATAAGAAAGGAATTTTTGGGATTGACCGGTTGGATATATACGATACTCCTTTAACTAATAATGATGTGTGAAATATCTGGTAAAAGTGTAAATTGTAGGAAACTTATGGTTGCTAAACAACGAAGGTTGGTATTATGCAGTGAAGTAACCAGGGTTTAAAGATTGACACTCATCAGGAATTTCACATTTGTTGTATATGGCTATAGGTTGCGGTAAATAGCTGAACCAGATGAACAGCCTTTTCATTTTCCAACGGCCCATTCGTGCAACAGTCTTCGCTGTTGCACGAATGGGCCGTTCCATCCGGGGAAGTACCACGACCTCACACAAGACCGGCATGAACTGGAAGGGTTATCCGCTGTGAAGGGTTATCATCAGGTGAACCGCTTGCTTTATATAAAAATAGCGGAACGACAATGAAATGCAGACACCTTCTGTTTATCGATAGTTCACCGTCACATCACTACCGCTAACCACATCTATTAGCGGTCTACTTACTGTCGAACCATTACCTACCCACCCGCGTTATGAATCTTCACACGGGCTCACTGACGAATACAAACATTATTTATCAAATGCCAATTCACTATCAGTTTTTTCAGATCGAAATGATAATATATAAAAATACATTAAGTAATAATTAGTTCATAAAATCATTATTTATTGTATTATTTCTTAAAATAATATACGCACATCAAATCTTTTTAATTTATATTCTTTTAACGAGTTAAGGTTTAATTTATAATTCTTCATAATATGTATTTTTTTCTAAGATAAAATATATTTCTTTAGTTAAGTATATTTCTATTGTCTAGTTATAGTACGGAGTATCTCGTATGGTTTTTATAGTGCTTTGTTTACCTGTAAATTAAATATGTATATATATTGTCACAACTTTATAATTAAGATCAACCTGTTTGTATGCCTATGTCCTGTATGTCAATGCATAATTATGCAATACGTTGGTAAACCTTACTAAATAAATAAGTAAATAACCGACGACTTGAATTCTTTTCAAGATTTTCGGCCACAGGTTGGACTGAAGTGTTTGCCGTCCAAATGTCAATGTCAACTTGGACTAACGTCAGGTGGCAAGTTATTAATTTCAATTCCACTCCCCGTAGTAAATGAAAACTATATTTTGAAATCATCCTGGGGTTGTCCGCTTGGGCCAAGATTTAATTTATCCATTTAAGCCACTGACCTGAGCAGAATCAGACGTCAACGCTAACAGACATGACCCATGTCCATTACCTGTCATTGTAATTATTTATGTGTCTCAAAAGAGCAGCCATAAAGAAATGCTCTATATATGCCGATGTTACAAACTCTGACATCGCGAAAGTAAAAATATGAACAGCTGTTAGCATTAAGACCGGACCAAAGTCTAGAGTAACGGTTTAAAGATTTCTCATTTACCAGAATCGATTTAAGCAGTAATCGAATCTATCGATTCGACGACACGGTGGTATGTACTCTATTATTTCCCTTCCGGGAGTTTTAAAATGACGCTTCGGTCGATACGGGCGAAAGGGAAATAGGCGCACAATGATTTGTACAAACATTGGTCGAATTATTTGATACCGTATTTGTTGACGCCGAATTCATCTCGTGGAATATTCTATGCAAGTCCGAGTATACGAAGACAATTAGTTGATGTACGCACCATAACTAACGTGTAAAGCCGGCACATACTGACCCCAATGGAGCAGTTGTCTATCTAGATAACATTGGGCCTAATTCGCTCCTACATTGGATGTTGATTGAGAGGGTTTTACCTAGTACTAAAATGATATCATTTCCTATGTGAGGACGCTAAATGCAAGTCAGTAACGTAGTTGCCGACGATCGGGCCAAAGTGCGGAACTGACGTAATAAATATTTAATAATAAGAATATTTTAGTTTTGATAAATAATGTCCCAGAGACGTCTGCACTCTTCATGTTTTGTTTCGTCTCAATAATTGAGAAGTAATAATGCATTACTGGCCGCTAGCCATTAAAGGATTAAAAAAAAATTTATATTACATTATTTTCATCCCATCTGAAACAGTGCATTTACCACAATACTAGACCAAAAATAATATATATAATGAATAAATTTAACAAAAAAAAAATAGATCGATATGACCGATCGATGCACGAACATAGTGTAGCGATGTTTTGCCTCCGCGCTCATTGTAGCGTCTTCGGGCGCCGGATGTTCCGCCATTGCTCGCTCGACCGTTCCAAATTCAAAACGGAGCCGTTTCCGGAGTGACGTCAGCGGCGGCCATTTTGTCGACGTCTCGGGCACCATTGTCAGCGCCATGGGAAACGGGAGCGGGCGGAATGGATTTCCCTCAGGAAAGGATGTCGCTCCGCTTTTTATGAGTGAATTTTAATAAGTACAGCCGATAACAATCGGTTATAAAGCTGTTATGGGCAACACTAATTTGAACGTTCGTAATACGGGCAATACGGAAATACATAAGTGATGCGATAACATTGCATTAGTTTACAATGAAGTATTATTTTGATAGCTATGTTGTTACTTATGTTGAGGCTCTCTCACAGATAAAACTTTTGCAGATCTACGCATTTGTATGTCACTAAGCGACCTTAAAACGCCCTTCCAGCACATAATAATGAAATATTACAGCGGGTGTACAGATTTGTAAGAGGAAAACATTAAAAATGTAGCATTAAGATGTTATATAATTTCGATTCTCGTACGTTGTCTTTATCTTGCTGAATTTTATGCATTTGTGCTGCTTTAACTCAAGTGTGAGGAAAACCGTTCGTGTATTATTTTAAATAGTATGTTTATATACTTAGTGGTATAACTGATAACCGATCGATTGATTGGTACGGTATGACGATTTCATACGTTTACCTAAACGCTACACACTTTACTACGAAACGATAATATTAGGAGCTACGAGTTTTAGTATCCACTGTTTTTTGTTGAACGTGATATATATGACCGTGAATAACTAATTACTATTCATGGTCGCATACGGATGAGCACACGAGTGTACCGAAGTGTCCAAAACGAAGCCAATTTGAGAGTCATGTCGAGCGCGAGTGATATCATAACTAGCAAAACTTGTCTGGATATACACGTTTTTCGACATGGCGTGTTCGCATAGACATAGGAAATCCATTATTTCTGTCTCGCACAACAACACGGTGCAGTGTATAACCCTAACTGGCACTCCAAAGAAGAAATCACAAATGGCGGCGCATTGGTAATGCTCGTGAAAAAAGCGCGGCAAAAAGCGGGCGTGGACAATCGCCCGACCTTCCGACTTACGAACTTGGCCTAGCCTCGGGCGGTATTTATTATCTATGGTAGATGCAGTACCGCTATGGTTAAGTGGAGAGCGGCTGGTCGCCTAATGGGAGGATATCGGTTCGATGATGCATTTGTTGCCTATTACAGTAGCAGGCTGTACAGCAGCCGTTCAAGGTTTTGACTCTGCACGGGATATAAGCTGGCAATTAATTTATGTGTCCAATATCTACATGAATATTTCTGATTCTTATTCTGAATACAGTTATGTGTTTTTCCTAACACAATTTCAGAACATCATACAAGGAACCCATCAATAACGGTAGACGTAGTAAATTAAATATTCTCAAACATTATCTGGACCGCACTGCTTATGTAAAGTAATCCTGAATTGGATTTGAACTAGTTGTTCCACGAGTTAACGAAGGCTAAATGTATTCAGACATTAGAGTATACGTCATCAAACGGCCTCATTGCCAGAATTTTTGAACTTCAGATATCTCTAAACAATTTCGAAGATTTATGAACCAACTCCTTTTCCAAGAAGTAATACGAAAATGAAATACATAACTATACAATAGAGTTATCATATACAGTGAAAGAACAGACAATTAAAAATAAAAGGAAAAAAGATAAAAACATGTGTACACGTTATAAATATAAGTTTCGCGGTGCATGAAAAGGTCAAGAACATTTATGTACATACCCTGTATTTTAACGGTAGGTATTGCAATACTATATAGTTTATTTTCCGTACTCGCTTAAACCAAGGCCCTATCCATTCGGCATAAAGGTAAATAAATATTGTTGCGCAAATCCGCCAGATTCCGATAACCTCGTCAGCAAAATGGCGGCGACAAAAAGCGAACCAGTCGACCGCCGACCTCCGCTTTTTTATCGATGGAGCAGGGATGTGCAGCGATGGCCAGCACTTTTTGTCGCGACTCTATTAGGGTCATTCATTAAATCTGGAGTAGACCGCGGAGGCCGTGAATCCGATGGTTTTAAGGTTAGGAGGATTTTCACTTGAGATCAGTTTCGTATCGATCGATGCAAAGGGCCGTTCCACATATTTGTCAGTTTTCGTCATGTCTTATACTTTTCTTTCAATGTTTACGTATCGTACAAGATGTGTAAGATTTCTTCTTTTGATTTATAATCTCATTTGTCTCTGTCTAAAATCTCTCTAATTATATTCTTGCTATAGTTTAACCTATTCTTGTCAAACGTTGTATGGTATTATTTTGTGCAACTGTAATTGATGAATATATTTTTAAACAAACAGTTGTTATCTAGACAACTTCGAACGCGAAAATTTTAGGTATCTTCAATTTGTAGTCTAAAAAACGAACGAAAAACCAAACAACTTAACAGATAACCTTAATTTAAATGAATCACTCTTCGCTGTAACGCGTTACTAAAATAAATTAAGGGAATTTATTTTCTATTTCGTACGGCATAGAGACCAAATTCCCGTCGATCAAGCCTCCATTCATACATGCCATGGAACCTTCGAAATGAATCTCCTAATCCACCATTTAATTGTTACTTCATACTGTTATCACGATTTTAAACAGCCCCTTTGTAACATGGCCGTGTAATTCGACAATCGATTACAAAATGGCCGCCTCCAGGTAATTACGTAGCAATATTATATTAATAAACGGTTACGTAAAAATAAACAATTTTGAGCACGAAACGTGCCGTCATCTGTTAATTTTGTCCTAACTAATATTTTGTTTTATGCCTAAATAGAAAAGTCATAGAGGAATACATAAATATCTTATAGCAGATAATACAGTAAGAGATTGACTAGTGAGGTTCATGAACAAAAAATAAATATTAAAATAAGCATTACATTCGTTTACCCGAACGCCACGAATTATATAAAATTAATTGACATTGTACAGTTTGTATCGCGTTCGAGTTACAAAATGTGTTAAATTTGAATTTAAGTTTAAATAGATGTACCTTCAATTTACTTCCATAACCACAGGCTTCGCGTTTTTAGACTTTTGATTAAATCCATGAAGTATCGTGTACTTCGTTCAGGCATCATAGATGTGAAAACTGCCAAATTATGAAATATCGTATGTAACTATTATACAGCTTTTTACATAAAGTGTGTGAATGAAGAGAGGATTTTCAGAATACATTTCCAAATTGGGTTGTTTTCGTGGTAAAAATGGCCTCTCCGCATTTCTATAGCCTCTTACAAATCTTAAGTTCACGTCTCATCTAGTAAAAGTGATATAGTTGAAAAAAAGTAAGGTAAAAGGTAAGGTAAAAGTAAAAAAGCAGGTGTGGTATGGTAACGTAGAAGTTTTTGCTCATTCAGGAATGGACTGGCTTGTTTAGGCTGACTCAAATACTGTAGCTGTATTGGTAACGATCATTTAACTACAGGAACGCTTGCTAGCTTGCCAACGTTTCACATAAAAACGTGGTTGAAACATGTCTACAAAAGGTACAGTAAAAGAAGGAAACATGTTTAAAATAACATTATAAAGAGGAAAGGTGTTATTTTTTGTTTTTGACGACTTAACTCAAAAACTAAATCGAAAATTCTTTCACTAATGGAAAACTACATTAATAGAAAGTGACGTAAGTTAAATTATATCCTCAGATCCTCATGGCAACGACACTATGCGGGTAAAATAAATCACATTTCACATCACGAAAATTAGCCGAGCTATCAGAATTTTCGCGGACGAAGTAGCTGGCGAAGTGCTTGTCTTGAATAAATAGGTCGAGCTGACTCTACATCGATCGTGTGTACGGCCTTATGAGTAGAGATGGTCGTTTTTCTAACAACGATGTCAGTTTGCGATGTTGCCATCCGCCGGTGAAATGTCTAACATCGGATGTCACCGACATCGACATCCGAATTGGTGACGAACATTACGGAATACCGATATCTCAACGAGATCGACCGATGCACGATTGTCGCCTTGCTCGTGTCAACATCGTTGTCGAAAACGATGTCGACATCGGATGTTGTCTGGGAAACAACGATGTGCATCGATGTCAAGAATCGCCAACGCCCAAGCCCACTCATGAATCAGTTGGACTGGCGTTCACGTGGCTCATGCACCGTGGAGCACCAGGACGGCAGACTGTTTGATTCGCTCGTTGGCTGCCCACGCCATGCTTCACGTCCGCCGGCTGGACCGCCGGCCGAGGCGCCGTTATGCACCGTACGCGCACCGTGGCCAAAGAAGCGTGCATAGAGACTCTGACCCGCCCAAGTGTTCGATATGCAGCCATATTTAAAAACTGTATTTTTGTAAATTTAAATATAGATGGCGCTGCTTAGAAAAAAAATTACGCTATCGTTTTGCTCGCGCTTATATCACAGAATACCATGTTAGTATTTTATGATCTCTCGTAATAAATTGTGCACCACTCCTTTCGTTTTTATTTTTTTTGACATTGCCCTTACTTTAGGATAACATCATCCTGTGTTGTAAGGACATTATACAAATACATAATTAAAAAAAATATTCAGTAATATTTAGTCAATAAAATTGACAAGATGATAAGGTTCTCGTGCGAGTGTATACGCCATTTTTACATTGAGCTCTTTTATGTGCAACCTGTGACTCTTATATGAAATTCCATACCCGTAGTTTCATTCTATTGTCATGCATTAAACGTCGGTCACTATTTAAGGACGCTTTAAAAATCGACTTGTTCGATGACTTCTATCACAAAGATATGGCCTTAACCATATGCATAATGGAGTCGTGTAAGGTTGGTATTGCTGGTTTTTATATCTAATATTGCACAGGATTTATGCTATGTGATACCGGTATATTAGTCAAACAATTTTATACCACGCAAGCAACGAAATTTTCGGTTGCTCAAGTCCAAAGCCAAAACGAGATACGCGTAGCTTTCGTGGTATATCTGTCACGCTGAACAAACGATCCACAGCGCGGTCGCGTATCGCTGAGCTCGCTCGGAGTCGAGTTCAAAAGCCGTGAAGTGCGCCTGGAATCGAACCGCGTTCTGCTTGGCTGCGATCAGCTGGCGCGTGCCATCGGGCACCGGTGACGTGCACATAGTCTTACGTATAAGAGCACTCGTGGAATCAAAGTGTACGTGTGTCCGTTTATGGTGAATGATTAACTGGTACGTGAGTGGACATTCACTTCCATTTTCATCCCACTGGTGGGCAAACGCCTCATCTATAGAGAGAGTATCAGGACATCGACCACCACGCATTTGTGGGCTTCGTAAATCTTTTATGTTGTTGCATTTGTTGAGTAGATTATGGTCTTCACCATAATCGGCATAAGCAGCACGTATTTACATCCGTCTCTTCAGACGTACGTAAATACGTGCTGCTTAAAAGCCTCATTTGCTAACCCACACCTTAGCAACTAAGGTACACCTTGGCTAGTTTTTGTAGACCATCAGTAGATATCATACTGTTAACTTAAGATTCTATCAGTTAAGATCTGTAAGTGTTTATAATTATTTAAGCGTGTGTATATTCCATATATTGTATATATCATTCACACTAGTAATGAACTTTTTTATTGCACGTACCAAAATTGACTGGGAGAGAATGCCAAAATACATTAAATTGGTCCTTTGTAATCCATGATTAATGTAATTGCAATAAAGTATAAATAAATAAAATCATTATGATGATTTCAGACTACTGAATGCAATTATTGAATTACCGTTCGAAAGTACGCTATGCGATTTCTTGGTCCGCAACCTCGATCATCAATTAATTCCATGCTTATTGGTTAATTTTAGACGATTAACCGATTAAAACTTATCGAGTTAACGCTTTTAAGTGATAATTGCTGCGTGATTATATTTTTTCCTCCATTTTTCATTAATATTGTCTTAGTCAAAATTGTGATCGTCCTGTTTGTTATTTTTGTAATTTGCCTAAGTGCAAGAATTTATACCAAGTAGAGTTTTCATGTGGCGTGGTAGTAAAAAAGTAAAATGAAAACTAAAAAATATATTTATTGACATAGACGCTTGCGCGTTCTTATGAAATGTCAAATTACATAAAAATTAATGCCTTCGTAAGTTACCAGGTGGCAAACCTAAGCGGGTTCAAGATTCGATTCCAAATGGGTGATTTTATGGAATAAGCAATGTTTTATATTTTTATTTTTGTATAATCTATTCTGAATTTAAAAACGGATCAGGTTTTTGAGGTGCCCGTTTAAATGTCAGCAAAATAAAACTGCGAACAATCGGAAAGCGAGATGTCGCTGTAATGAAATTGAGTTGAATAATGTGTTTGCCTCGGACTAATAAACGCATTAAATTTTGCTCCGTAAATGGGATTGTTTTCAACAGACTAAAAAAGAAGGAGGGTCCCAATTCAGTAGTATTTTTATGTTTGGTACCTCAGAAACTCGTAATTTAGGAAAAGCTTTAAAAAATATTTTTGCACAATTCAACTCAACAATTGAATAGTTTAATTTGTCATGTTTAATTTAGTTACGTTAGTTTAATTAAAATTTCATGTGAGTTCACATGTACCTGAGTAGCTATAATACCGAAGTATCTATTTTTGAAGTTCTGATTCTATTTTAGTGAAAATGTACTAGTTTCATCCCTTGTCAACACATAAGTATCGATTTTTGAAGTACTGATTTTTTGTCAGGCTTTCAAGACACAGCCGTATAGTTTGGGAGATAGAGCTATATTTGCCGCACCCAATATTTACTTTTGCCGAAACCACGGCTCAGTCCTAGACTGTAGTCCAGCGGAGCCCGCGAGCGATTTAGAAAGCGACTCCGGTGGAGTTTTTGTCTCGTTCCGCGGCAAAAAGCGCTCGAAAGGTGCCGCCGGTGAAATGTTACGATTACTGCTGCTTCGGACGTCACCGGCGCGGTCGCGGCGCTGGTAGGGCCGTCTGGCTTAGTAAGCCAGCCCGAGCTAGCCAGAAGGCTGGGATAACTAGCTCTTAGTAAGCCAGCCCTAGCCAGCCAGAAGCCTGAGATAACCAGCTTTATACAGACTAAACTAGCTCTATACAGACTTATCTGACGTAGACAGCATTGAGATTTAGAAATTGATATGGGAGTAAATGTTGTATATCAGGGATAGCGCTTGCTTTATATAGACTGAACGGAGATAGACGCCACTAACATTAAGATATTTTGGGGGTAAATGTTGCGTCAATTTGTTTTGTGCTGAATGTTTCGTTGATGCTTGAAACATAGTGACAATTTATTGTAATACTCAACAAATACGATAGATTGGCGATTTCATCTCATAATTATCAGCAATTTTTTTCTATTTCCTGTTTATTTTTGTATTCAGTCATTTTATAGAGTCGTTTTATTTACACATTGATTAAGAATATCAACGGTTAACAATACAAGTCATATGTGTACATATATACAATAATAATTTTGAAAGTACTCGTAGGATTAAAATACTTGAGTAATAATAGTAAGTTATAAGCTAATTTATTTAAAATAATTGATAGACTAAAAATGTTGAAGAATTATCAATGTTCTATATCACTATCTAGTTATTGCCTATGACTATAGTACTCCTGGTACAATAGTCACTTAACTGGATAGACTGAAACTGGAAAACTCGGTTTTTCTGTTGGTACATTGTGCATTTGTTTTAAATTGAAAAATCTATCTGTAAATGCTGACCTGCAATCATGTATTGACATTGTGCTGATTTTTGACAGAACAACAGAATTGCCTGACGGCAAAATTCAATCGCTCAACTATCAAATAAATTATTTAGACTGTACTTTAGACCGTTTCAAGTGGAAATTAAATGCGTCACATGTTGTAGCTTAATTGCAACCACAATATATCATCAGTGCCGTGATTATATATGAGAATGTATTAAACACGAACTTAAAAATAAAGCTTCAAGTAGGTAATGTGGCCGAGTCAAAAAGTAAAGTAGTAAAAATCCACTTGTCTATGACATAAAGGTTAACTTAACAGCACCGGTAACGCCGTGGGAAAACATAGAGTATGAACAAAGAGGACGTAACCTAGACCCGCACCGACAATGAGCCTTTCCCACACTTGAGTCTGGGGTTTAAATTAAGAGAAAAAAAAACAATGTTTTCACTTGCGTCGACTTACGTAAGCTTTATCTGGCTACGAAGCGAGGTTCACATCGATTGGACACGACTCTACATAACTCTACATAACTCTGTCCGCCTAAACAAATCTATTCTTCTTTTGCAGAATCGTTTCTTACCTTTCAACTATTCAATTTGGTCTTAAACGTAGACGAGTGGTATGTTTGTATTAACAGAGAGCACAGGTGTCAGACAATGATTTGAATGTAAAAGCAGAATTTATATCTATCAAATTCTGTCATACGTCACTGTAATATTCAAGCTAAACAATTACGTATATACGTACAATCTAATATTTTATTATCATTTTGGTAGATTTGAACAAATTGACCTTAGTTTCTGGTATGTAAGAATAATTCTCGGATTTTATGGTGATTATTCATCACATGTTCAGCTTATAGGTACCAGTTTAATTATATATTATTATTGAGAAATATGGTTTAATTGTGCTTTTTTGATTGTCATCTATACATAAGTTATACTCTACATTGTGCCTCAGTGCAATTCGATATCTATATTACAATAGTATAAGTTCATTGCAAAAATAACGCCAGCTTGCAGCCAATAAGAAAAATATGGAAAATAATGGTTTTGGGTATAAATAGCGTTCAGCGCTAAATTATTTTTACGTACCACTTAGCAATTAAAATAACAGATTTGATCACCTTGATATTTTATATTTATCAGTCATAAGTGTTAGTTATAAACTCTTATTTCTTAATTATATTGATATTATATGAGAAGTTCTAATTGTAATTATGATACCTTCTGTTCAATGTATTTGGTATAAGACAAAAGTGAAATTGCCCAGCAGTGGGACATTTATAGGCTATGGCATACTTTAGTCAAGTAAACTTTATGTTAACTTCTTTTTTGTAGTTCTTTATATAATCAAAGCAAATGATTTGACATACTTAAACTTTTATACTTTATAAAAGTTTATGTTCTGAATTTATTACATTTCAATAAAATTAAAACGAAAAAAATCCAATAAATTCGAAAAATGAAAGAATCACATATTAGTATCAACATTAGTAAATGAAAATGTATGAATTTAAGTGCCTATATAAAAAATGTAGTATTGTGGACATTTTAAACATTTCAATTGTATTAATGTACCGACGGAAGCATTTGGCTTCATGCATAATAAAACGGGGAAATGTCTTACAGATAATGTTATAACCTAGCAATTTTAAAGTAAGTTATGCTGTTTATTTTATTTATTCGATTAAACAACTCTTTCTAATGTCTAACAAGAGTCTTGATAGATTTTTAATGTACACAAATTACTCCTTTTCGAATCGAAATTTTGAACTGATCATGGTATAATGTCGTTCAACAATTGTCACCGTAACATTACAAAAAACTACATACTGAAATTATGTTTGTTTAAAGTGACATTTGAAATCGTTTTAATGCTACTAATCCGATCTCAGAGATATTTTTCATAAGTACAATAAAACGCACGTAATCCGACTACTTCTTCAAGTATCCGATACATTAGGGCGTTGTGCACTTGTCAATTTCCACGGGCTTGTTGGAATTTCGTAACACACAAAAGGAAACAAATATACACGGAAGGGGGGAAACACGAAACGAGACATACCTCAACCGTAAAATCGCCGAGCGGATGAACGGGATCACGTAATCTCGGGGCTATTTCTTTTCCTTTACCGCGCCGAAAAACGACGAGCGCAGCAAACGGCGGCGGTCGAATACGGGGCGAGAACTTTCTACCGCACCGCACCGAAATCTAGCCTCACAGTCAGGTAAACACTGGCCACACAAGCACTTGGCGATGTCTCTTCGGACGGTACTCTTTTTGTTCGTGGCGGGAGCGCGGCCACGTCTGCCCGCCGCGGCGTTGGACACTCAAATGCGTTTGAGTGGAACAAAGTCAACTCCCGCGCAGCGATCTGAGACCCGCTCTGTGCGTGTGTGCGTGCGTTGTGCACACTCGTACACGCTTATGTAAGGAGCGGTCCTTATGTAAAAACTCCATGTAGTTCGGACGCCGCGACGGACGGGAAAACGCCATTACCGTTTTCGCGAATGCGTTGTCAACTCGAGATCCTTCTATCTCTCAATTACTCCCTAATACATATTTTAATCAATCATTTTTTAATGT